TTAACTATTTTCATGAACCAATTATTCCCTTGAAGTTTGCTTGAATAATTAAGTATCATTTTCAGTTTTCAGTCGTGATCAACGATGATTTGTACCAACAAACAATAAAAATGTGGTTGTATTATATTTGTGTAAACTTCTTGATTTTCCCAATAATTGTTTGGACTCATTTTGTGAACTTGTTGAGACTTGAGAGATGTTTTGGGTTGATGAAGTTGGGCCTTGGGGTTTACAATAAGAAAATTGATCTATCCTTCTTGGTGGCCCGTTTCAAGCATTCTAACCAAAGCCCAAGACTGACAAAGCCCAATCAGTTCCTGGAAGTTATAGATAGGTATCAAGTTATTAATGGCTTTGAGAACTTTGAGGGAAATGTGATAGTGAAATGTCAGTAAATATAATTTTCATTTGTCAGTATTTTCTCATCTGAAAAGGTTGCAATTTGTGTAACAACTAGGTTCCTTCTTTGTAAAACTAGCTGATAAGCTAGCTGGTAGCTGATAAGCTAGCTTATAGCTTATCAGTAATTTTCGAGCTTATAGCTTATAACTTATGACTTATAGCTGAAAAACTAGCTTATATGATAAAAGTGTTTGGTAAATTAGCTGATAAGCTAGCTGAAATAAAAAAATCAACTAACTTATTTGAAAAGCTACCTAAAGAAGCTTTTCAAATAAGCTCGAGCTTTTTAAATAAGTTCGTCCTACCAAACAAAGTTTATTTAAATGCAGGGAGCTTATAAGCTAAGCAAATAAGCTATAAGCTAGCTTATTGGTCTACCAAACATAGTCTATATCATTTCAATATAAAAATATATGTATTTATTATCAAGTATATAAAAATCCCCCCTCCTCCTATATATAATTTTCGAATGTGTTGAGCCTAAATGGCAGACTCGCATGCTTCGAAATCCTAAGTGTCAAAATTTCATGTTTTGTTATTTGACTTGGATAGTTTTTAATTTAATTCCAATCCAAAACTAATTAGGTTCGGATTACCATAAATATAATGATTTATTTATGATTATTTTAAATGTATTTAATTGTATTTCAATATCATTTCCTATTATAACTAATGAATTGTAAATGTATTTTACAAGTTGATAATTTTTGTATTTGTTATCGGTTTACAATATCTAATGTATCATATTAATTATCTTTTGATGATTTTCGATTTGACATTCATATTGTATATATAAAATAAATAAATTATATTTATCTTTGAAATAATAAAAAATATTTATTAAAATTAATTAAAATATAAAATTATTTCTCAATTGATATATTCATATTTAATGTAGTTATATGTTATAAGTTAGAAAAATTATTATAATATAACACATGTAAATCGCACAAGTAGCAAAAATATTATTTTAAAATATAATATAAATATATATAAAAAGTATTTAAATTTTCAACTACTTAATTTTTCTTATTAATTTTAAATATTAAGAAAAAAAATTAGCAACACGCGTGTAATACACGACGTTGTACTAGTATAAAATGATTAACAAAAACCTCAGTCAACGTTTAGGGGCATGCTCTCTTGATTTGGGGTAACAGAAAAAAACATATAAAATGGAATCACAACTGAAATTAATATTTAATTCCAATAAATAATACTACCTGGCCCAAATAATACTAAATGGAATCTCTAAATTAATATATAATTCCAATAAATAATACTACCATAGCCCATAACTATTTTTTTTCATTTTTTTTTTTTGGGTAAAAGTAATAATATGATATGTTTTTTATTAGAATAGTTGTTAAGTTGTGATGAGAGGGTCAATCCTAACATGTAATATGATGTCATTATGTGTTGTGTAAGGGCACCTGTCTTTTTTGACTTGTATAAAAAATAATATATACTAAACAAATATATATTATATATTTCTAAACAAATATATATTTTCAGGGATTTAAAATTTGACCCACAAAAAATAATGAAAATACAAATTGGGGTTTTTTCTACCTTTTTTTGTACCCTTCAAATAATTGTATAAAAAATTTAATTTGTTAATTGGGCCATACTTTTAGCTATAATTAAATAAATTAAGATAGTATTTTATATTATTTTTACAACGCATAATAATTAATTTATTATTTGATTAATAATATCAAAATAAAATTTAGATATGAACCTTCCAAAATCAGAATCAATTATTTTCAAGTGTAATTATGAGTCATTATGAGTCTTGTTGCTATATGTATATTAATATATCAAATAACACTAAAATATTCATGTAAAAATTATTTGTTAATTGGGCCATACTTTTAAATTAATAATGTGCAACATTAACAAAGACAAATATGTATAAATATGAGAAGTATTTTCATTAATCAATGTTTGATGTTAAATTGTCTAGCTACTATTAGACAAGTATATTTTATTGGGAGATGCTAAGATCTCCTTATCGAACCATTTCGTCGGGGTTTATAATCGTTAGATCAACTATTCCCGACGGTTACATGATGATAAGAACGGTTACGAATTTTGACATAATGATTTTGTAACGGGATCGTAGCATTTTCATTTTTATTATCAAAATTGGGTACTAATATATAAATCAAATGTAAATAAAAGTGAAATTAGATATTGCTAATTAAATTTTGTAGCCCACATGAAATTCATGAAAACTTGGGATTAAATAAAGATAATTAAAAGTTGGTTGAAAACAATATAGGCCCCGTGAAGCACTTGCAGAGGTTCATGGGATTCATTTGTTATATTTATTTTTTTATTCATTTATTTTTCGTCCCTTCTAACCGCAAAAATTTTGAAGTTTTTCTTTTATTTTTTTTTTTCGAAAAGATAGAGATATTATATAAAAGCGCACAAAAGCGCACAAATGTGTACAAGTACTGTCACTAACTGAATACAGGCAGCCAACATCTGAATACATGCAACCAACAACTGAATAAACTGAGTGGACATGTCAAAAGACTACTTAGAACACTACAAAAAAACTTCTTACATTCCAACGGTTTTCCGTTGGAATTCCTTATATATCCGTTGGAATATCACAAGTACTGTCACTAACTGAATACAGGCAGCCAACATCTGAATACATGCAACCAACAGCTGAATAAACTGAGTGGACATGTCAAAAGACCATTTAGAACACTACAAAAAAAACCTCTTACATTCCAACGGATTTCCGTTGGAATTCCTTATATATCTGTTGGAATAGATATTCCAACGGATATTCCTACGTATAAAATTCGTAGGAAAAATGATCGTTGGAATAGCTAAAATCCAACGGATTTTCCTATGGAAATAAATTCCTACAACTATTCCAACAGAAAAAATCCGTTGGAATTCCTCAACCATCCAACACTTTTTCCAATATAAAATTAAGTTTGTTGGAATATTCGTTGGAATTTCTAACGGAAATTTTTGCCGTTGGAATTTTTCGGGAATTGAAGTGTTTTCTTGTAGTGGAAGCGACCATTTGATATAAAATTGATATAAATAAATTGAGGACAATGTCATTATATTAAAAAATATAACAATAAATTATGAAAATGAACAATAACATGATATTTTGAAATATAAAAAATATATATATTAATAGACTTATCATCTGAAATCAGAAAATTGCCACGGGAACTGTGATATGAAATAAATATAAGGTTTATTTAATCTTTTTTTCTATTTTTATTTCTTGGTCTCTTTATTATTATTATTATTATTATTATTATTATTATTATTATTATTATTATTATTATTATTATTATAAATATAAGGTTTATTTAATCTTTTTTTCTATTTTTATTTCTTGGTCTCTCTATTATTATTATTATTATTATTATTATTATTATTATTATTATTATTATTATTATCATGGGCGTAGCTAGTTAGGGGCTAACCTGGGCTTTAGCCCAGGGTCAATTTTTCCCTATGTTAATTAGTATATATATTATGTTTAAGAAAAAAAAAAAAAATTTGTCAAATTTAATTCAGCCTATGTGAAATTTATTTTAATTTGTATGTGTATGTATATTTTAATTTAAGCTTAATATATATATTTGGTGATGACTAATTATTTGAAAAAAAATCTCTAACAAAAATTAAGATAATATCTTTTTTGTTTATTGGTAGCACTAAATTTAGTTTTTTTATACGAACTCATTGTTTATCAACTAACATAACTTGTTAGGCATTTTATTTTAAAGAACTTGTATATTATTGATGAAAATGTGATAATCATTCATAATTAAAATACACTATAAATTCTCAAGTACCCATGAGATTAATATTTATTGTAATTATAATGTTAAGTTTCGATACTTAATATATACAAGTCTGAGCTAGGTTGAAGGCCTAATTAATAGTGCATATTACATTATTTCCAATAAATTTATATATTTTTGTAGTTGCATTTAAATATAAAAAAATACTAAAAAATAATATTTCATATTAAAATATATTTTTTAATTTTAAAAGTATGATAAATCGGTCTATCAATTGTCATCCCATATTTTTTCTTTTTTACAAACAACACCCCGAAGGGTG